AAATCCAGCTAAGTCTGTGTCAGCTCGCCGCTGCCTCCTTACACTCCACTGCCGCTGCCGCTGCCGCTTCCTCTTTTCTCAGTGAGCAGGCTTAGCACCCCCTTACACTTCCTTCTTCTCCTTCTGTTAACAGTATACAGTATACTGTTAATATTGTTAGGTTTATTTGAAATTATTAATTTTCAATACTGTTAATAGATTTTCTTAATTTAATAACATATTTTAATTTAAAATTTTAAATAATTATATTTATTAATTATATTATATATTTTTTATATTTTAGCGCCTCACTTCGCTCGGGCGAGTGCCTGGGCGAGCGCCTAGCGCCTCGGGCGTTTTTGGACCTTGGCGCCAAGCGTTTTTTAAATCACCGGGCTGGATTTCTCTTAGTTGAACTTGGATTGACCAAGAGCAACATGATAATTTAAATGGACATGTATTGATGAGGCATGTTTCATTGATATAAGAAAGCATGCTAATGAGACTTCAATAGACCCTGTTGTTAGACCAAATAAAAAGATTACAGCTTCACTATTCATTTTCACCTTCTTCAATCATCCCACATTTGAAATTTCTGTAATTCTTCAATCTTTCAAGTAACTGCAAATTCAGAGATAAGATAAAATGAGATCCTAGTTAACTGTGTGCAGGGAGAATATGAAAATATGAAGGTTAACTGCATCATGTGAGGTTTGAGTTGCTTTTCATCAAATCCTAAGTAATGTTTATGGAATCAAATTACTTTGGAGGCAAACTGTAATAAAGACATTGTTGTTCATGGTCAAATCAAGTTGATGATTCCTAGTTCAGCTATGCGTGAGACTTAAGTCGAAATTTGTTATAGCTTGGTTTTAGGTTTTTACTCTGTTGTGTATCTACCTTCCAAAATATCATATTCGATTGATACCCTTTGAAGAAATTATTTTGGGCACCAGTACCTCGGCTGCCATGTTATACTTACAATGCTTAAACTTTGTCCAATAGTAACCCAAGATGAAAAAGACACCTATGCAAGCTTGCAATTTTTTTAACAAAAATATACATAAAAATGAAATTAGCATGAATGCCATTCAGAAAAAAAGGTACCCACTTTAGTTTTGATGGCAACCACATATCCGATGTAGGAAATTATTAGGGTAATACTGGACAGGGTCATTTTTGTCATTTGACATACATGAACCAGCTTATTTTACACTATATCAGTGAATCATTAAATTATATTCTGGTTGGTATCAGTGCAAAATGACTTTTTAAGGGTTGGGCTGGGTTTTGCACTTAAGAGGCAATTTTGCAGGGATATACATGGGAAGAAAACACTGTTGTCATTCAGAGATCTTCTATTTATAGGTTAACTACCACAGTTTAGATGTTTTTATGTTGTGTTTTGGATGATTTTGAAGAGCATTTTATGTCTGAATTGTATCATTATTCATGGACACTCACAATGGATGACTGTTTTCCTGTTATGGATTGTAGCTGCGATCTAGTTAGAAGTATGGGGGTGGTCTTAATAGGTCAAAGATGAACTGAGTGATATGCAGCTGATAACGGAAGCATGTTGCAACACAAGGTTATTAGCTGTGAAATGACCTGTAACCAGGCTTTTATAAAATCTGCATATAGTAATTAAAAAAATCTGGCTGGATACTTTTACATCCTTAGATTATGGTTAAATGGAAGTTGAGTTATAAGTTCACATAGACAAACATATATATATATGCATTTGTCAACTCAGATGCACATAATTGGTTGGTGACACAGAAATTCACTATGAAAACCTCTTTGGGGTGGACATTTGGCCTTTGATTTTATCCTATTTTTGAGTTCACGCCTATTATTCAGTGTCTTCTCCCATCTAATTGTGAATATATTGACATAAAAGGATTTAAAATTTGTCTTGAAGTTGTCTTGTCGTCGATTAGATTGAGTTTGTAATATGAATGGTAACTTTTGGTAGTTGGGATTCACTTGTTGCTATAGACGTGCTTCTGGGGTGTATGCTAAAAGAAAATGAGCCAAGACATGTTTGGCTTTTACTGTGGTGATGTCTAAGCATCGAGTCTTAAGTTGGAAATTATGTTTTACGAAAATGTTAAGAACTTAATAGAAGATCCTGGAAAGGACCATTTTTGTCTTTGTTGAACATCACATAGAAGCTATCAAGCCTTAGGTTATACTCGGTCTTGGCTTCCTAATAAGAACTAGTAAAGTACCACGAACACTTTGTGGGTTTCAATATACATGTATGTATATTTATCTGGATAAATTGGTGATACATGTTTCTTCCCTGACAAATAGTTCTTGTTTTTGTTAAAGCAGAACTCTGTATCTTTGCATTTTTATCCTAGTTTCATATAATGCCAACATAAAAAATTCCACAAATTATATAGCCATTGTCTGTCACCACCAACAAGAGGCACTAAATATTCTGAGGATCTTGCTGATGCTTGTTCCTAAGGTTGATAGTTCTCCCGCATGTTTATTGGAAAAGAAGTACCCTTCTGTTTTGTTGGATTTTTATTCTAGTTTCATATAAATGCCAGTTATACAGTGGATATCTGTCACCAACTTTAAGAGGCACTCAATATCCTGAGGATCTTGCTGATGCTAGTGCCTTGTTAAGGTTGATGTTTCTCCCTCACTTTCTTTGGAAAATTAACATGCATTCTGAATGGTGCTTGCTTTTGAAACTGCAAAATGTTGCTACTGCACAAATCATTCATGTGGGTTATCTTTTTTTGCTTTGGATGAGTTGGTACAATGCTGATATTATTCGAGGCTTCCAATGACCTTAGTACTATCAAAAAGTATCTGTATGTATTGTGCTATGTTCTCATCATTTCATCTGCATCAGAGTTCTTTCATACTATCTATAAATGAAGTGATTTGCTTGAGTTTCTTCTCAGAGGAGATATATCTAATGATAAGACATGCGGGGTCTGTCTTTTATTTTTGACCTTGTATAAATCTGTTGTTCCATGTTTTGTATCTTTGTATATCTCGGCTTTATATCTGTTGTTAGGACTAATGCCTAACTGTATGGTCGGTTTTTTATATTAAATCTTGTATATTCATAAACAGAAACATGCCAGAGATGACCAATTGGGTAGAAAGGGGACTTTGTTCTCACCCCAAAGTAATGGACAAGCTCTGGGTCCGGTTAATCCAAACGTGCAGCCAAACAAAGTGAAAGCAAGGGGTTCACTGATAGTCCAGGCTTCCAAGAAGGGCTTTGTTCATTCAGGAGTTGATATTCTGAAACCTGGATCTGATATAATTGAGATTCTTGCAACCGATAAACTCATACACGAGGTGAGCATGATATTGGGCTGAATCGTGCTAGACAATTTAGTTGTCTCTTATTTTTCTTTAATGTTGTTTTATAGGAATCTATAGAGTAGGTGTAGTCAAGGCATAGGTTAGTGGGACGAACAACTCGAGTTGGATAAATAATTTTTTGCTAATTATGTTTGAGTTTACACTTTTTCTTTCTGGTGCTGATTTTCTTTTTTTTTTGCATCAAAATTGTTTAACTTGCCACTATTTAATGATGTGAAAGTGTTGATAATCAGTTCTTTGTTACAGGTTGAAAGGGTTTGTGGAGGCGAGAACCCTGAACCTGCTCTGGTCCAGAGGGCCAAGCTAATTCTCAAAGTAGGTTGCTTAAACAGCCCTTGTTTCTTTTAGTTCTCATCTTTTGTCATGTTCTTTCAAATTTGATTGCCCAACTCAGCTTCACCATTTGGACAAATGGTTCTTTTAACATTTTCATTGCTTTTCTGGAGTAGGATCATGAAAGAGCCCTGCTAGAAGCAATTGGTAAACTTGCTGATGTGTCAGATGGTGGTAAGTTAGTGAGTTCCAACAATATACATGCATGCCGTTAATACTCATATTATTTTCTAATCTACATGTTTTTGGCTTTGATATCCAGATGACTCTCCTGATCGAATTCAGTACATGATTCAAGAACCACAGAGTAGAGCACACGTTTTCCCGAACAATAGATCGAGAAGCCATTGCAAGTAAAGGCTATGGTGGTAAGCATCAAGGCTTTGTGCTGCTAGTTGATGATTATAAAGGTGGCTAATGTGCTATGGTATGTAAAAGCTTTGTTACTGTAGCTTGATCGAGTTTTTTTTTGATCGGAAATGCTATCAGGTCGACCAGGGTCAAATTTTTGCCTGTTCCCTGTAAATAGATGTAGGACGGACGAAGTCACTTTGTCATGGGCCGCCCCGCCATTTGTATAGGGCTAGGATTGTTGGTCCATGATCTCTTTTGCTCTGTTTTGGGCTTTTGCTGTGTTACACTTTCTTCAAAGCAAATGCATAGCCATTACCACTGACTCTTTGTTAGTTGGACTTTTGTGTTTGATGAATTGCTCATGTCTGTATATTCAGACTTGAATTGGTTGGTGTGCAACACTTGGGACTAATGCTTGAAAGTGAGGTTATGCTCGTAACCAGGTCATGTGGCAGGCTTGACATTTCGTATAGAAACCTCGTGCTTTGTCTTCGAGCCCCACGCCATTTTATATTGTACAACAGGTTTGACTCTCGTGTTCCTATCCTCCCCACATGGCCTGACGTAAAGATGGAATATATGTCCGCTCCACTCGACTCGATTTAATGTCACTAGTGTCCAATCGGCGGACTCGGTAATCATTGATTGAGATAACTGCGGTTACATCTATTGCTGCGTTTGTTACAACGGTTCTCGGAGTGTAACAAGAGAAGGGGTGGTAGAAACGACTGTTTTCTTTTTCGGGAAGCGGTGTGTACAGCGGTTATATTAATAGAATACTCCGAGTCATGGGCAGTCGAGCTGCCGTCGGCGGGCAAGGAATCTTCCGAGCCACTTTCCATAACTATCCCTTTCTTTGTTTTCTAATAACATTCATAACCCATGTTAATGCATCCTGGGATCGAATACTTGAAGGGTATTTCTGACATAATCGGGTATCTGGAGGCCATTATGTTCTGCTTCCTCTTTGTCCGCCTCCCTATAAAGCGCTTCATGGAGGCAGCAGCCCAAGCGAAACAGACAGATTGAAACAAACAGCGACGGGGCGAAAAAGAAATAGTTTCTTCTCCCTTCCCCAAGAAAATCGAGGAGATGGAGGTGAGAGACATTTAGCTACTCCTTCAGCTTTTGCAACTGGGTTCTTTTTTTTTTGTTGATATTCGAATCCTTTGGTTCACGGTTCTGTGCAATTTTTGCAGACAAGATCTATTCGGGTTGCCAACATCTCAGATCTAGCGGAAGAGAGGGAGATCCGGGAGTTCTTCTCCTTTTCCGGCGACATCGAACACATCGAGATCCGAGGGTCTGTTTCTGAGCTTTGTGCTGCGGTTTCTGTTCTTTTTCGGGGTTTGGTTTGGCGTGTTCGTGGTATTTCTTGTTCTTCCGATGCTACGTCTACTTCTTTTTCTTTTCACTTCGTGTTTGAATGTTTTCGAAAGTTGTTATTAGTATGATGTATTAAGGGCTCTTCTAATGTTTTGGGGCTATTTTTGGCAGAAATGTCGGCAGCGGGAGGATCGCGTTTGTTACATTTAAGGATCCAAAAGCACTTGAGATTGCTTTATTGCTATCGGTACTTCCATTACCTTTCCATTCTGTTACTCTTCCTTTTATCTTATTTTAATCGCGAATTATTCGGCCAGCACATGTAATTATACGATGGCAGATCAGTTCTACATTTCATTGTAGATTCGCTGCTTGATGGAGCTTTTTCTTTAGTTACTAGACTTTAATAATATGTGAGCTATTTCTTTATTCATTTGAAAGCATAGTAGATCATAATCAATTCTCAGATATTATTGGAAAGCTTATGGCTCATATTTGTTATTGAAAATTGCGTGTGAAATGTTAAAATTTAGGTTTCCAGCCGGGTCAGATGCTCTTCCTTTCCGAAAGAAATTTTCTGTCGGGAGCATTTTGGTGTGTACGCTAACTGATTGAGTAGCAATGCAGAGTAGTAGAACCATTTCTAGAGAGTTTTTCCTATGAGTGTGTTTTGCTAGAAGTGATATAGCATGATCTGATTTAGTGTACTGGAATTTTAGAGGTTTTTCTCTATATCTTGCTATTAAGCTATAATTAGGACAATATCAGTAGCCAAAGTAAGAGTTGTCATATATCTATTTATTGTATCTAATGATGTTTTCTTTAGTTGCCGTCGGTGGGCGGTGGCGGTCGGGCTTCGACACACAGGGGAGGTGGCTCGCAAGGAGTCATGAACCTATGAGACTAAGTTAAACAAAAAAAAAGACTGATCCCATTTTGAAAAGTGAGCACTACTATATGACTAAAAGAAGAAAAACCAAACCGAACTACCAGAAATGGAGCGGTCCACATCTCAGTTCACACTCGGATGGTAAATAGCAGTGTCACTAGTCCAGGCTAAATTAAATTCCTTGGTCTTCATTGTTTGAGTTTCAAACTGTTCCTATCTAAACTCTCTTCAATCGAAACAATATCATCTGCAAATAACATGATTCACAGAGTTTTATCCTGCTTATTCCTTGTTTCATTTATAGATGATGATCTTGTCATGTATTGAAGTTTAAATAGTACTTATAACATCTGACAAATTTCCTTTATTTGGGTTGGAGACTGGAATTGAAAAATATTCACTAATAAGCACTCAGATAAAATTTCTTTCGATTAATATACTCAGATAAAAATATTCACTAATGACCAACAAATTAGGATATTACTGTTAGATGGTTCTTGGGGATTTATCATGTTAAATTGGTTTTCTTCCTTTCATGGTAAGAAAGGCAATGCTTATCAAAGTTTTATTGGTGAAGCTGGTTTATCTTCTCCAAACATAACTAATTGTGTCTCTTGTTATTCAAATGTTGCTACTGTTGAGTTTGCTAAATGCAAAGAGACCTTTTCACTGTCAGCTGCTTCTACTGTGACTGACAATTTGAGCATTTATAGACATATATTCTTATACAAGTTGTGGACAGAAGGTAATGGCAAGATTGACTACTTGCCATTTTTGCTATAATGCTTAAGATGTCACTGAACAAGGAGTTTCCTAATATTTCCATTGTGTTCCAACTTTAAGGGAGACAATAAGATATTCTTGACCATTTATGATGTCTGGGGATGCATCGACAAATTGATGATATACTGACAGTGTGTCAAGGGATTATGGTTTGCCAATTTATGTACAACTACTAAGGTGACTTTGGCTGTTGTAGTGCATTTTGGCTGTCATCTATCTTTTCGGATGCTTGTGAAATCTGAAATATATTGTGGTGAACTTTCAGCTAGATTTTTCATTCTTTTCCTTTTCAATTTCTTGCATTGTGAGGATTACCTAATTGATAGCTCCTGTATGTTTCCCTTCCATATTCATCCCAAAATTTGTGTATTCTTATGGGCATTCAAAACTTCAAGGAATTTGCATAATCCACTGTAATTGTGGACCCATATTTTTTAATAGTGTACAACATATTAAACCGGATTAATCAAAATCATTCAGAACATGGTTGTCAATAGTTGATACTAGTCTTACACTACTATTTTGGTGGTCTGAGCAGTGTGGAAATTGAAATTTTATTGAGGCATGTATTGCTCTCTCAACTTGTTCCTTTGGCAGGGGGCTACTATAGTTGACCAGATAGTAAGTATAACTCCTGCTGAGGATTACATTACAAGAAGTGAAGAGGTAAAACTTTACTCTTTCTGTCCTATAGAATTTGTTCGTTGGTTCTTTTAGTTGTTTCACTTCTTGTGCTGAACTCCATGCAGCAAGTTATGGCAGACAATGTGACAATTGAGGCTCCTGTCAGTATCTATTCTCCAACTGTTGAGGTGTCTGTAAACTCCAGTATAATTTTCACTCGAGCACTGCTGTGTGTACAGATTAATATATTCTTATTAAAGGTCTTAGGATTGAAAGAAATGATTTGTTTGTATCCATGCAGGGTAAAAGTAGTCCTGGTGATGGACAGGTTCATGTCAGTAAAGCTCATGATGTTGTAGCAGCAATGATAGCAAAGGGTTCAGCATTTAGACAAGATGCTATCAGTAAAGCTAAAGCATTTGATGAGAAGCATCAGCTGATGGCCAAAGCATCAGCAAAAGTTAGTTCTTTTGATAAACGGGTTGGCTTTAAAGAAAAAATAACAGTTGGAATTTCTGTTGTGAATGAGAAGGTGAAATCAGTGGATCAAAAGCTACATGTGTCTAATAAGACGATGGCTGCCCTTACAGTAGCAGAGCAAAAGCTGAATGATACGGGCACAGCTGTCAAGACAAACAGGTGCTTTAACTATTTTAACAGAAGTTTCATGCTAATACCCAAAAATCAAATGGAAATGATGACTCTTCTTGTATGTCAAATTTCAAGTGGATATCTCTGAACATCATCAATGTTCAGAGAGAAATGGAGGCTATTTTGTCCCCATTAAGTAACACATGCAGGATGCTGAATATTGACCTTGCCATAGACACACCATTGCATGGTTCTTGTTCTCATCCATTTGTCACAACTTTTATCATTTAATTCCAGTTCTTCAGCTTAGTGTTGTCTGTCTATTTTACTAAATAGTGCTTTTGGTTTTTCCAGTGGTCATGTCCTTCTATATTCTTTGTTGCTTGCCCATGATTTGTCCGAGTTTCCATTAATTTAAACCATTATTAAAGTGAGATCATCAATTTGTTTTTTGAATTGTTTGAACTGTTGTTGATGCCCAATTCCAATGATTATTCACAATCTCTTAAAGTGAACTCATTGATCTGGAGCTTATAAGCAGCAGTTTAACAATAGTTTTACTGGTTTATTTGATAATCAAGTTCCATTCCTAGTACTATTTGTTTTTGAGGTTCTGGTTATTATTTAATATGAAAAGATAATTATCAAGTATCTACTGATTTTAGTAAGATTTTATATTATTATAATGGTGGTAAAAAGAATTCTTTTATGGAACTATAATTAGCTATATCTCATATTTTATGCTAGTGCTTCACATTGGTGTGTGCATTAAGAAAACTGGACTACTGAATATGGGCATTCATTGTTAATTTTGGGTTGCATGGATTTTTAGGTATGTAACTGCTGGAACAGCGTGGTTCCATGGAGCCTTTGGCAAGATGGCAAAAGCTGGTCATGTTGCAAGGACAAAAACACGAGAGAAGTTCCAATTAGCAGTGACAAATTTAACGGCCAAGGTAAGACGATAGTTTCCCATTTTGGTTTGTTTGAATTTGTTGAAAGCATGCATGTTAACTTTTTTGTCCCCGCAAAACCAATGTGACACATTCATTTTTCAGTTGTTGAAACTTCTTTTTGCCCAAGAAATTGTATGACTTGCGTTGAACAAATAAGCCAATTCCTTTTTTTCTCTAATGTAGTTTGAAACTTTGACGTAATTGGGCATGTCTAGCATATTATTTGTTTGCATCAGGGTTAGTATGGCTTAGTACACCAAGTTGCCAACCGGATAATAAGCAATACTTGTTCTACAAGTTTCTTTGATTCTGCATTATACGAAGTATTGACTTACACATTGTGGCTTCTAATACAAAGAAGAAATATGGAAGTTGCATTCATATCCTAGCAAGCATCTGTTTTAGTCAAACAACCATCATATGTTTGACTTGATAGAATGTGTTTTGATCAGACAATTATCAATTGTTTGGCCTCATAGAATGTCAGTTAATTGTGGTTCTGATTTTATCTTAGCAAAACCATGTGCTTCAGTCAGAGAATTATTAGACATTTCTCTTCATTTCTTGCATCAAGTTGATACCTGCACTACATTTTGTATTTATGTTTATGGTACTTGTGTCTCTTGTAGATTGCTCTCTCTCGATCTCTCTCTACTTGCTTTCATGCACACAACACAGACATCTGATAGTGAGCGTCCAACCATCAATACTTGACTCCATAATCCTCCTGTTGCAGGATCCAGTTGTAGCTGCATAAACCAGTTCATTTTAGGTGGTTCAGATCAGTTCACTACAAGGAACAGCAAAGCAGTCAGCTGATTATGCTATGACAGCCATACCTAGAAGCATGTTGGCACAAGATTGATGCTATTTTTTTGCGGATCATCTCATAGCATCGATGGTGTATTTTTCTTTCTTTCTCAATCCTTTTTCTTAAATTTTAATTCACTATATACAGCGTGCTCCTATCACCAGGTTTTGAGTGATAAGTTGCTTGCCGCTTGTCTGCTAAGAGAGATGTAATTTTTGTACGGCACAAAATTTGTGGAAGCATTTTGTTGCATGATTACCGGTTATTTATCAGAATCATTATATATATATATATATATATATATATATATATATAAAATCGTTCCACCACCCCATGGAACGAATTTGTGTTTTAATTTTTGTAATTGATTCGAAATCAAATCAGAATTGTTCAGTTTCCATCTCAGTCCTAATTTTTAGAAATCGAAACTCAAACCACACAGTTTTGATTTTGGTTTGGTTTAAAATTCGATTTGGTTTGAAAATATGAACCACTGATCCCATTAAATTCCGATTCGATTGATTCGAGTCAGAGTCACGGCTACTACAAACCCTGCGTCTCTCTCACCTCAGAGGACAAAAACATCCGTCGCCACATACACAGCTTTATGGATTTGTATAGCATTCTCACTCCAACACAGATGGAATGCACTGCATTAGAAGCCTTTATTCTACTAAGCAGGCTCTGAACACTGACGATAATACTGATGAGAAATCAATGCTAACAGTTGTTGGGAGGATCGGAGGAGCAGTTCTACAACGAGGGCTTGTAAGGGTATGATCTGTTACCGGATCCTATCGCTGTGTCCGCAATAACTGCCGCACGTAGGATTGATTTAGCAGATATCTCTATCCGTTTGCGGTTGATCACCGAAGCCAGTGAAGGAAACTAATAATATCCATGGATTCGTTTGATGGATTTGATCTGACACCTGCCTTTTACTAATTCTTTCTCACAGCACAACCACCCCCTTCCCACACTACAAATATCATCTTCGCCTTCTCTCTCTCTCGCTCTCTGCATTGTGATCGTTGGTAAGATCTCGTCCTTTCCATGGCGTTTACAGATGCAATTCCTTGCATGTGCATGAAAAAACCATCCGTCTTTCTTTAGCATTCGTACTGTTTACGTTGTCGGAGTTTGTTCTACGCTTGTTCTTTTTCGTCTTTTAACTCTTCTTCTTGGACTCGACGCCCTGCCTTTCCCTGAATGGTGTTTGCTCACAGATCATGTCCACGGAAGAATATACGATTGGTATTGGTGTCTTCTTCCTCTCTGATCACTGATGCCTCAGTGTAATCGTCATCCATCCAGTTCATGAATCATCTTCTATATCCTATTATTACTTTTTTTCCAGCAAAATCTCAGTGTTTTTTAAGCAACAGCATTCTCCATCATTAATATTTGTATCCGTGAGACAAATAGCAGAATTATTTTACTCTAGTAGCTCAGTTGACAAATCCTGCTGCCATCTTTACCTGAGTTCTAATTATCAAGGTTCGAATCTTTTATGTATTGCTCTACAGCTGCTTTTATGTTTCTAGTGAATTCTGGATGAAGATTTTCTGCTCATTGATCTATTAATTCTCTATATACTCTTGGAATTGTAGAGATGTTAGCTTCATCAGATTCCAATTACATTGTTTGCAAGTGATTGTTCTACTGGATGAGCTTTGATCTTTTCCTAAATAACACTCTCTTCTTTCCGATCATCGTAGTCAACAACAGGTGGAAGATGGGGACCTTCAAAACCCTTCTTTTCATGCTCCTGATTCTACACTCCTCAGTAGCAAGAGGAGCAGTTTATCTCAAGTATAAGGATCCTAAGCAACCACTAAACGTTCGAATAAACGATTTGCTAAACCGCATGACTCTCGCTGAGAAGATCGGTCAGATGTCGCAGATCGAACGAGCAACTGCCACCGCCGAAGTGATCGAGAAGTACTTCATTGGTACGATCCTTGGTTGACTCGATCTTTAGATTGCCGCTGTTGAACTTGTTTGTGTGCGCAGGTAGTGTACTAAGCGGGGGAGGCAGTGTGCCTGCTCCTCAGGCTTCTGCAGAGACCTGGATGAACATGATCACTGAGATGCAGAAGAGTGCACTTTCCACCAGGCTTGGTATTCCAATCATCTATGGCATCGATGCAGTTCATGGCCACAATAATGTCTACGGAGCCACCATTTTCCCTCACAACATTGGTCTTGGAGCTACCAGGTAATCATCCTTGGCTATTTCTCGAACATAAGATTACAACACTCAAAATGGATGATCGAATGCTTAGAGGTGTTCGTGATGGCATGCTTTTCCCATCAGGGATCCATCTCTTGTGAGGCAGATCGGTGCTGCTACTGCTCTGGAAGTTAGAGCAACAGGCATTCCTTACGTTTTTGCTCCCTGTGTTGCGGTAAGGAAGCTGTACCTTTGCCCGAGAAGCGATGTATTCCTGCATAACACGAGCTTGACACTGTGTAGGTCTGTAGAGATCCGAGATGGGGACGCTGCTACGAGAGTTACAGCGAAGACCCCAAAGTGGTCGAACAAATGACGGAGATAATTGACGGCCTGCAAGGAACTATTCCTGCGAATTCCCGCAAAGGAGTCCCCTTTCTCGCCGGACGGTAAGTTCATGTACTCTTTGCTTGGGCATGGATCGAGTGGGGGATGAACAACTGGTGGTGCAGGAAGAACGTGGCAGCCTGTGCGAAGCACTACGTCGGTGATGGTGGAACGTACAAAGGAATCAACGAGAACAACACCGTCATCGACCTGCATGGATTGCTCAGCATCCACATGCCTCCCTACTATCACGCCATCATCCGAGGCGTCTCCACCGTGATGGTCTCCTACTCGAGCTGGAACGGCGTCAAGATGCATGCTAATCGTCGCCTCGTCACCGATTTCCTCAAGAACACGCTTCGATTCAGGGTCGGTACTCGTCTCGTTCATCCTATCCTTCATGTCGTTCTCGTTGGCTTCTCGGAATCGCGCTCAGCAGCCGTGAACGCATGCAACAGGGGTTCGTGATCTCGGATTGGCAAGGAATCGACAAGATCACGACGCCACCTCATGCGAATTACTCCTACTCCGTCACTGCTGGAATCAGTGCTGGCATCGATATGGTCAGCATCTCCTCCTCGAGAGCTGTTTCGTCAGCTCCAAGCTGACCGACTTCTCCGGTGGTGATTTGCAGATTATGATCCCTAACAACTACACCGAGTTCATCGACGACCTGACGGACCAAGTGGAGAGCAAGATCATCCCCATGAGCCGAATCGATGATGCTGTGAGGAGGATCCTTCGAGTCAAGTTCACCATGGGCCTGTTCGAGAACCCCTTCCCCGATCCCAGCTTGGTCGATCAGGTCGGCAAGCAGGAGCACCGCGAGCTCGCCCGAGACGCAGTGAGGAGATCGCTCGTGCTCCTCAAGAATGGGAAGTCCGCCGACGCTCCCGTGCTCCCGCTTCCCAAGAAGACAGGCAGCATTCTCGTCACGGGAAGCCACGCGGATAACTTGGGTTACCAGTGCGGCGGGTGGACGATCACTTGGCAGGGACTCGGCGGAAACAATCTCACAATCGGTAACCACGCGCAAAAGATCGAACACCTCGCTTCCCTCTTCCTCTGCCCCAGCGCGGGCTCTCAGACCTTGCACTGTTTCCGACAGGAACCACCATCTTCGAGGCCATCAAAGCCACCGTCGACCCGACCACCCAGATCGTCTTCTCCGAGGACCCCGACGCCGGATTCATCGAGCGCAACCACTTCTCCTACGCCGTCGTGGTGGTCGGCGAGCAGCCGTACGCCGAGACCTTTGGCGACAACCTGAACCTCACGATTCCGGAGCCGGGGCCGAGCTTGATCCAGAAGGTGTGCGGCAGCATCAAGTGCGTCGTGGTGGTGGTCTCCGGCCGGCCGCTGGTGATCGAGCCGTACGTGGGCGTCATGGACGCGGTGGTGGCGGCCTGGCTGCCGGGATCGGAAGGCCAAGGAGTGGCGGACGTGCTCTTCGGCGACTACGGGTTCTCCGGCAAGCTTCCGAGGACGTGGTTCAGGTCGGTGGAGCAGCTGCCGATGAACGTGGGGGACCGGCACTACGACCCCCTCTTCCCGTATGGATTTGGCCTCACGACGAAGCCAGCGAGAGCTCAGCAGTAGAAGCTACAGAACTAACTCTACGCCTGTATACGATCGTTGTCTCGGCAAAGACAATAATAATGACGCCATTCGGAGGCGAATAATACTTTCATTTCATTGCTTCCAGCAAAAATATGTTTGTTTGTTGTGTCTTTTCTCTCTCTAAATCTCACCCACCGAAATATTGTATTTAATTTAAAATTGAAAATATGTAAAATCGTTCGAAATTACAGATAATATTAGAAAATGTTTTTAAATCTAAAAAGAAAGGAATAATTCGAAACATAAATGACACTCAAACATCGATCATATAGAAGAATAAGATAAAAAGCGTGGAACTCATGCAGAAGAAAGAAAACCGGAGATAGAATACGAGGAAGCCTCCCAAACCGAAGTCATCAGATGTACGAGAAGAAGAAGAAGAGAGACGACAGCGGAGGTAGCGATACGTGTTTGCGTAGCTCGATCGCATTCCTCCGCGGGTTAGTAATCTCATTTTGGTTCCGAGGATCAAGTCTTCCTCCCGGCTTCGTCATTTTGCCGGCCAAGTGTTCGACGGTATGTCCTGGCTGCCTGGTCTTCTTTCTTACACATCACTTGAGTCACGCAATCAGATTCATAGAGGAGACGTTGCCGTGAGACGAACTAACATTATCTGAGGTTACAGGTTCTCGACCCAAACCGACCTTCATCGATCACCTGCCACCCGAGCTGCGGCCGGCTACAAATCGCTCGATGTTTCGAGGCATTTTCGCATGCAAAACGTCAGTCATGCTGAGCTTATCGTTTGAGTCAGCAACAATTAGGATCCATAGAGGGAGGAATTCAAGAATTCAACGGTTGACTTCGTGTTGGCAGACTAAATTAAGAGGCGTACGGACTTCTCCCTACCAAACCTTATCTTCCATGGTGTTGGTTGGTTGTGATCCTGAGCTAACTAAGAAAGGGAGAAACAACATGAAACATCTGATGATCTATGTAATGAGGTTGCTTGGTTGGAGGAAAGTTTCCTATGTGTGATCTTTGTTTGAATAGGACTTGATCTACGAATGATGCACAAATATTTCAAGGAAAGTTTCCTACTCTAGTCATCCTTTTACTTTTCCGACCTTTACAGGTACGTTGCATGTGGTTGATTCATGATGATTTTATATATTATATATTAATTAGTTATAATATTATATTATCTTATAATAGTCTTTTTTAAATATTATAACTTGATTGATTTACTCTATTCATAAAAAAATTATTCTTATCCTTCTCTTTAATTTTTTCATGAATCGATCAGTCGAGTAAATCATTATAGTGTTTTTAAAAGAAACATTATAAGATAATATAATATTATAATTATACTCTAAGTATTATATAAAATAAAATACTATTAGAAAATTCTGAAAATAAAGATACTTCTCGGAAAAAAAGAGTTTTTTTTAATTACATCACAATAAAAAGAATATGAGTCAAATAAGACTCTTTTATTACATCACAATATACACTCATATCTATTTTTTCGTAATTATTTATGATTATTTAGTAATTAGGTACATCTAACCAAAGTTTGTTGTATCGTACCGTACTAACGTTTCGACCCGAGCTCGGTACGGTACGGTACCGATGTACCGGGCGGTACATCAGGGGTACCGAGCGGTATGCCTTGGTGTACCGAATATTTTTTTATTTTTTTATACTGTAGCAGTGCTACAGTATAGCACTGTAGCAGTACCGAGCGATCCACATACCGATAACTTGTCAGATCGGTATGTACCGCCCGGTACGGGTTCGGTACGACAGACCTTACATCTAACTCACCTCACTTAGATTTTGTATGCCTTTATTTAATTAAATATGAATATACATTATGATCCTATAAATTATTCTCGGCCAACTTCACATGATTACTACTTTAATATTATCTAAAAAATAAAAAACTAATAAAAACATCGAATCGATCATACAATTATGATTGTTACTCATACTATCATGTACGTTAAATTATGCCCACAGTGAAATGTATGACAAACGAACAAATGCCTCCCTGTTTTCGATGCCGAATGGAATGCGACAACTCAACCTCAAATTAGTTGATGCTAATCACGAATAGCAGTAGAATATTCTTTTTCTACTTTGTGCGAATTAGATGTTATGAAATGTGTTGAGGATTCTAAGATTTGGAAAGATAAGATTGATTACATGTTGTCATCGATCTTTTACGTGTAGTCTGCGATTGGGAAACTTCCGTAGGAAAAACTCGGGATCGCGTGGCGTGTTGGTGGGGATTCCCAAGCACGCCATTTCCTTATATATATCCGACGACATCGGCTTAATCCCCATCGAATCCATCGTAGATTCTCCTTGGTAATGTTCTATATCTATACATCTATGCAGTGGGAGATCCGTGACCCCCTTAAATCTTGGATAAGATCTTGTTCCTCTCTTCTTTAATGGTGACATGTAGCTGTACTGGGTGGTCCTTGCAGCTGCTGTTCATGCTTCTTTGTCAGAGCTTAATGGCTTTGTTCTTTGACAGAGCAAATGTGTTCTTGAGGATTTTTTGAGATAGAAAATGTTTTCTTGGGGATTGTGATTCATGGGGTGTTTGTTCTTTGCCTTTTCATTCTGGAATCTCTGTTCTTGGTGTTCTTTTTTCCTTTGATCGAGTTTGCTCTGTCCTTCTGGTTCTCAATTTGCTGCCGCAGATTGTCCAGAGTCTTTCTCGGTTCTTGACGTTCTTGCCTCTTTCCATCCAAGTTTTCTTGAGGTTTTAGATCGAGCGGTAGCTCTCCGCCTTTTGATTTGGCTTTTATCTGCGACATGTCGTTCAGGTTCTTCGTTACTTGTCGATGTTCTTGCCTCGTTCGATCGAAGTTCTTGAGGGTTCTGATCGAGCGTTTGCTCTCTGCCTCCTGATTTAGCATTTATCTGCAACATTTATTTCAGGTTCTTCATCAGTTCTTGAGGGTGTTGATCGAGCGTTTGGTCTCTGCCCTGCGGATTTGCATTTATCTGTCACTTATTGTTCGGGTTCTTCATCAGTTGTTGATGTTTCGATCAAAGTTCTCGAGGAATCCAATCGAGTGTTTGCGCTCTGCTTCGTGGATTTGCATTCTGTGCGATATAATCCTCGAGGACTTTGATCGAGCGTCTGTTCTTTTCCTTTGCGTCAAATCTTGAGGACTTCGATCGAACGCACTGTCCATTTTCTCGTCATCCCCTTCTCCTCATGATTCAGCTGAGCAAGAGGAGCTCAAATCAACAGGATTTCATGCTTCGGATTGCAACCTCGTAGCTGCAATCTGATTTGTCGAGCCATGGTGACAGGTCGCTCGCGCATTCCTTCGATCGACGATGGCGAGCCGAGAAATGGCCCTCCTGGGAGTTCACCTCCTGCTATGCTGGGCCGCGGTCTCGGGAGCAGAGTACGCCAAGTACAAGGATCCGAACCAGCCGGTGAAATGGCGCATACGAGATCTGATGCAGCGGATGACGCTCGCTGAAAAGATCGGTCAGATGACGCAGATCGAAAGGAAGGTGGCGACGCCGCAGATCATGAAGGACTTCTTCATCGGTAACCATCTACTCGAGTGCTTGTTTCAGCCACGGCCGTAGACAAACTGTCTCGGACCATTCCGGTGCTGCAGGTAGCGTGCTCAGTGGTGGCGGAAGCGTTCCTGCTCCTCGGGCCTCTGCCGAGGCCTGGGTGGACATGATCAACGAGTTCCAGAGAGGATCGCTGTCGACGCGGTTGGGGATTCCGATGATCTATGGGATCGACGCTGTTCATGGCAACAACAACGTCTACAATGCGACCATGTTCCCCCACAACATCGGTCTGGGAGCTACGAGGCAAGTGTCGAGGAATCAGCAAGTAGGTGTTTGTCGAAATGCCTCCTGAACTGCGTGCTCTGCAGGGATCCCGAGCTCGTGAAGAGGATTGGAGCCGCGACCGCCCTCGAAGTCAGGGCGACGGGCATTCCCTACGCGTTTGCGCCATGTATTGCGGTAAAGGACGAACACGAAGCAGCACGCAGCGCCGTGATCACCCTTTTGATCTGATGTTTCTCGTTCGCCGCCCAGGTTTGCAGAGATCCGAGGTGGGGACGGTGCTTCGAGAGCTACAGCGAAGACCACAGGATCGTGCAGGCGATGACGGACATCATCCTCGGCCTTCAGGGAGACGTGCCCGAGAACCACGCCAAGGGCTTCCCTTATGTCTCTGGAGAGTAAGGCTTGCGGATCTCTCATGCAAGTTTATGGAGTGCGGTGGCTTGAGGTGGTACGTTACGTGATGCGTTGTTGTTGTTGTTGTTGTCCTGATGGAACAGAAGGAAGGTGGTGGCCTCTGCTAAGCACTTCGTCGGAGACGGCGGGACACAGAAGGGGATCAACGAGAACGACACGATCATCGACCCCAACGGGTTGTTCGGCATCCACATGCCTGCCTACGTCGACGCCATTGCCAAGGGCGTGTCCACCGTCATGATCTCTTACTCCAGCTGGAACGGAGTCAAAATGCACACGAACCGCGACCTGATCACGGGCGTCCTCAAGAACAAGCTGGGCTTCAAGGTAAGCCCCGTGAAGCTTTCAGCTCCCTCCCTTCTTCGTTGGCGATGGGCTAATTCTCCTTCCGGAGATGATACCAGGGATTAGTGATCTCGGACTGGGAGGGCCTCGACAGGATCACGAGCCCGCCCGGCGCAAACTACACCTACTCCGTCGAAGCTGGAATAAACGCCGGTATCGATATGGTCGGTAACCTGCACGCGAGCTATTCATCTCCTTGGCTCTGCTTCTTGACGCGTGATTCTTTTGGCAGGTGATGGTACCGAAGAGGTACAAGGAGTTCATCGGCAACCTGACGTTTCTGGTCAAGAACAAGTTCATCTCCATGAGCAGAATCGATGACGCCGTGAGGAGGATCTTGAGGGTGAAATTTGCACTTGGCTTGTTCGACAAACCGCTGGCCGATCATAGCTTAGCTGATCAGCTCGGGAAAAAGGTGATCACTGCTCTCTCTCTCTCTCTCTTGTTCCCAGCCGGAAGCAGAGAGACACCAGTAAATGATGCGTCTCTGAAATTGAAAACAGGAACACCGGGAATTGGCAAGGGAGGCCGTAAGGAAATCGCTGGTGCTGTTAAAGAATGGGAACTCTGACGACGGCCCGCTGCTGCCGCTGCCTAAGAAAGCCCCCAGGATACTTGTGGCAGGAAGCCATGCCCATAACATAGGATATCAATGCGGCGGATGGACCATCGAATGGTACGGCGGCAGCGGAAGGATCACAGCCGGTGTGTACTCGTCGCTGCCACACCTTCTCCTGCACTAAAAACACACTTGGATGCTTGTCTGAATCCATCTAAAACAAACTTGCATCTATTCATCTATATTCTTCACAAGAGTAGTGCTCTGCAGGCACCACGATACTGGAGGCCATCCGATCCACGGTGGACCCGGCGACCGAGGTGGCGTTCTCCGAGAACCCCGACGCGGACTTGCTCAGAGACCACGACTTCTCCTACGCCGTCGTGGTGGTCGGAGAGCACCCCTACGCTGAAACCTTCGGAGACAGCCTCAACCTCACCTTGGCCGCTCCTGGTCCGACCACGATTCAGACGGTGTGCGGCGCTGTCAAGTGCGCCGTGGTTCTCGTAACCGGCAGGCCGGTGGTGATCGAGCCCTACCTTCCGGGGATGGATGCGCTGGTGGCCGCTTGGCTGCCTGGTTCCGAGGGCCAAGGCGTTGCCGACGTCCTGTTTGGGGACTACGAATTTACGGGAAGGCTCCCCAGCACCTGGTTCAGGTCTGTGGACCAGCTTCCCATGAATGCCGGTGATGCACATTACGATCCCCTATTCCCCTTGGGCTTCGGCTTGACGACGGAGTCTCGCATCAGCGACATGTGAAACTCCTAGATCATCAGTGTGTGTATATATATATATATATATA